GGGGGGGGGGGTGCACGTAAGGCTGACACTTCCAATTTCATATGATTTTTAAGGTTACTGTAATACTAGACTGAACTGTTTAATTGTGGAACCAGGATAGCTCAGTCAGTATAGCACTGAGCTGTGGTCTGATCGACCTTGAAATCGTTTTCAGCCACCAGCAGGACTGGCTCTGGAGAACATCCAGTCTTTCTCAAGGGGTAATGTGGTTGGAGTATGAAACTCACTTCTCACCTACACCTAGTGCTAAGATTAAGATATGTAGAGCTAAATCTTCATGCCTCCTGTCTTCACAGCATGGTACTTAATTAAGCACAGGGGCCTTATCTTTTATCCTTAGTACCTAATTAACTGCAGGGTGAAACAAAATAACACTTCTTATTAAAATGAATATAATTCTTGATACATTTAATGTACAGTAAATGGAGTTAATTAGCACAGCAGGATTTGGAGAATTATCATTCAACAGAAAATACGTTCAACATGTGAATCACAACGTGGCCCATGCTTAAAATTGGCAGCTAGCATGCTTAGTTTGTCTGCAGTGATTCTGATGGTAACAGATAAAATTCATTCCTTATGTTCATGAACTGTATGGCTGTTCTTTCCATACATACTGCTTCTGAGACATCCCAGTAAATGTAAGTGCAGAGGTTGAGACTGGGAAAATATGGCGGTCAAGACCAAAGCCAAAATGTCCAGAGAGTGACCAGAGATAATACAACCACCAAAATGTTCATTGTGGGTATTCAAAATTGCAGAATTCACTGTACGTAATGGAGCCCCAACCATCTGGAATATCCTAGCATGTGCATCAGCAGGGGCATCTGCAGGGGGGACCAGGCATCTGAGCCCCCACCCCAACTGATTAAAAAGAATCAAAATTGAAGAAAAGATACCGAACATTAACTCTCATATTGCATCCATTTATGTAATGAATCTATGGTCCCTAAAGTAGTTTATTAGGGTCACATCAGGTGTAGTTTACTGATCTGGAGGAACATATTAACTTACCCCTCCAGCAATCCTGGAAAATTGGGAAAGACTGGTGAGAAGTTAGGAATATCAGCTGGTGCATTGATCCGTCCTGTGGATGAAGACAGAATCATTTACAGGGCTGTCAAACAATTGTCTCTCTCTACAATAGAAGGTTTCACTATTTTCTGCTGCAATATTGTTGTTATTGTAGGTATCCCTTGTTTTCTGAAATTGCTGTGTTCCTCAAAATGGCCATATAAAGGGAAATTGCGGAATGCGAGATGGCTTGAACACAGTAAAATAGGGCATATATTTCAAAATCGCGAAATTATGAGCCAAAAAGTTAACAATAATTGCTTACTTCGAAATTTTTTAATAATATTAGTATTACTTATTTTACAGTTTATGAAAAATATCAGATGACTCACGGGATGCGGGCAGGGATGAGAACACAAGAATGGGCTGTGAAGGCTACATATACATGGCTTGGCAACCCTCACCTGTTAAATCAAGACTGCAGAATCCGTGGCATCCTTTGAAAACATTTGAACTACCCAGCACTGGCAGGACACAGTGGTACTGGCCCTCAGCTCAGCAGACAAGCTCTCTGTTTTAGCCTCAATAAGCACAGTGCATAAAAGTGTGGTACTTTGTGCTTATGCTTCATTCACACTGAGCCAGACATCCTAATTTTTGTGGTCTTGGAAGCCATTCTCGCTCACTGCACTTTTATTATTATTATTATTATTATTATTATTATTATTATTNAGAGACATGAGGTTCTTTTACGTGCCGTAAATCTACGACACGGGACCCATTGCTTAAAGTCCCTCCCGGAGGACTTGTTCCCTGAACCCACGTACCTTGAGTCATGAGGTGGGAACGTTACCCCTAGACTACGGAGGCCGCTCACTGCACTTTTAAAATGTTCCTTAATTTTACTAGCTTGCTTCCTACTGGTTCCTAGATTTTGGAAGTGACTTGGCACTGGCTACAGTAAACCTGCTTTATAACGTTCATATCTCTTCATAACATTTAATTTATTGTGAAGGGTAACAGATTTCTATTGTGCCTTCCAGACAGCAGCACTCCTGTTACTGCTACCACTATTCCTGGTTCTCAGCAAAACTGCATGAAGTTAGATCGTGGATAACAAGGGATACCTGTGTATAACACATTCACTTAATATTCTTAACCATTTCAGTTACAATCACAAAGTGATGACTGGTGAATTATGGCTAGTCAAATAATCTATTCCTAGGATTTTTTAAGTATTAGTGTCTGCAAATAATCGATATTTCAGAATTTTGCGTGTATTAATTATTAAAGAAGAAGAATTGCTCTCAGATGATAGTGAAAAGGTTTTGCAATGGGAAAGTATTATTACAGCGATGAAAAGACATTCCCCTATGTTGGCATTCATACAGAAACAACACTGCTCAGGTGCTTACACACTTATTAGAAAAATACAGAATTTATGATACAACACAGATGTCAGGTTTCATACTTTCAGCATAAATTTCCAATTTCTGACAGAAATGTTGTCAGTTTCCATTCTTAAGTAATGTATTGCACTTCATCAGTACAACTACTTCACATCTGAATGCAGTGGGAAGGAATGTCTTACAGATTCTGTGTAACCTTCCCAACAAGGTGCAACATAGAAGTACAGTATGAGCATCTATACTCACCCCATCTATTCATTTTAACTACGAGAATGCCTGTAGAATCAATCTTACGCACTGCGTTACTTGCTTCACATTTGTAGTATCCTGTGTCATGGGTATCAAGCTGTGTAATTCTGAGGCGCGAACCCAAGACATTCTGCCCCTGATGACTCTACAAGGAAATGTGTTAACATATTAGTCTTGACCTCATTAAATGTCTTACAAGAGACATCATCTTTAACAGATCTGACCAGCAGGCCTCTTCTTGCCTTGGGATTAATTTCTAAAATGTTTGCAAATTTGTTTCAGCCGCCCTGCGTGAAACATTAAAACAGCAGCCCTCCCCCTGGGATACACGAGATGCAAAGGGTGCCCTGCTTGGGAATATTCGACAAATTATGCGCTGTCCACAATCAAACAGCATTAATTATCCACTTCTACAAAACCATTCAATTGGCCAGCACGGCTGGAACACGGTGTGTTCACCAACAGACATGAAGAGCCCCTTGAGTCTGTTGCCCGGAATTCAGTCACTGTCCAACCAGGAGTCCAACTGCCCATCTAGCTCTGTGCGATCAACCGCAGCAGTGGAGCCTGCAGATTATTGTATCCCTGCTCCACTTAAGTAGGGATAATGCCAACATCCAGCTTATGTAACTGAAAGACATCTCAGAGAAAAATATACGGATGAACATAGTGAAAAGGAAAGAAATACAGATTATTGGGATTAAGGATAGAGAAGAAAAGGGCAATTAGTCTCCAAGGCCCGCTTCCACACAATAATTGGGGCTGCCTTGTGAGCAGTGCTTGTCTCCATTCATAAGGGAGAAGTCTCATGTATCCACCGACCGACTGCAGAAGGGTTGCTTTACGAACCGTGACAGACCAAAGATGACATGGTTCACTTGCCCCAGGGAAAGTCGGCAGAGGCCGTGGTTATGCGCAATGCGCAAACGCGTGTTTGCAGTGCCCAGCAACGGCCTACAGAGGCGGTTCTGGGAGATGCGTGTAGGTGAAATCCGTGCAGGGCAGTCACTTCGGAGTGGAAGAGGAAACCAATCGAATAGGTGAGGAAAGAAATTGTGCGCAAGGAGCAGGAACTGAAAGAATGGAATCCGTAAATGTATCCTGGACAGTCACAGATAGAAAGCTGTGTTCAAGAAGTAAAGATGGCACATTTAGCAGACTAACCCCTAATTGGCAGACTCTGGGAATGGCTACTGGGTCTTGTGCCAGATTGAACAAAGGATCCAGAAGAGAGATTTTCGGACCCTGCGTTCTAATATAGGATCTTCTACCTGTGTCCCACAGCCCCAATTGCACGCATATCGCCAAAGAAGATGAATAAGCGAGAGGGAGTTCAAAACGCAACTGTCTGGAGTCGAAGCCCGAGCACAACGCCAAGGTTATGGGTCTGCCGGTGCGGATAGGATAAAGACTCTAAAGTTCGACGGGTTCATGTCCGGGACTCTTGTTTCATCGCTAGTTTGTGAGTGGCGAAGCATAATAACCGGAAATACCGAGAGAAAGCTACACCTGAACTGCCCGTCTTGCAGGAACAGGCCGTTCACGTCCTGCGTTAGATCCCCACAAGAGCGAGGTACGAAGACATCGTTGAGGCGTTAGAAGACATTTATGGAGACCACCAGCTGACCGACAAGTGTACACAAAAGTCTGCAGCGGCCATGGACCAGATGACCCGCCGTGCCTTTGTTGGGTAATCCCAGTACTACAAGCGGGAGGAGGCAGCTCGAGCACTTATTGACGAGAAAAAAGGACCGAGAGATGAAGTTCTCCTTCCTTTTGGGTGGCGGCAGACCGCTGGACAACGCCCTAAGCTACACCTTGGAATAGAAGCTCCGAAGGCGATAGCAGGGCACCTGCAAAGACCAAGTACAACAGGACAGGGTGTGGGCCATCTTAGGAGAGACTGCCGACTGGGGTATGACTTCCTGGAAGGAGATATACAAAGACCAGAGAAACGAGTAGAGAACAGGAAGGAAAACACTCCATACATTTCTTCCACTGCACAATACTAGTGTTAGTCACCTTAGGCAAGGCCATGGGATCAACCCAGCATTTTAAAAAGCCCCCAGAAGGTCGCGGGTTCAAGTCCCGATGATGTCACTGGATTTTTTTTTTCAATTGATCTAATTCTTCCAGCCACACTATGGCCCCGGGGTCGACTTAGCCTCTTACAGAAATGAGTACCAGGAATTAATTAAATAATTTTCCTGGGGAGTAAAGCGCGGCCGGCGCGTAAGGCTGACAACCTTACCGCCATCTTTGAGCCGATTGTCTAGATAATGTGGGACCCTCAATGCCTCACAACCCTATGGGCTTTCACGGACTGGTAAAGGGATAGCTTTACTTTTTTTACTTACCCAGTGATTGTATTAAAGAGAAAGCTCATTCAGATTTGGTAGGGACAGACTTTTGGATAGTAATCTTAGGGTTTGCAGTTAGCAAACTTCCAGAATGCAAGATGGATGGTACTGTTTCCATTTTTTTCGCTTAATTATGGCTGTGTGCCAAATAAACTTTCTGATATTTTGACTGCGTTAACTGAAATAGTTAAAATCTTGTTTTTATATTTTATGTTGAATCTGAATTATCCTGAAACTAACGCCAGCAACAACACCTTCATAAAATTCCTTTCTCTTCTACGAAGATCCTTTTTCATATGTAACAGTTTGGTTCGGTCATGTACGTCAACAAGAACCACATATACAGAATATTATTCTTTTTAATTCGCTTAGTGGGGGGTGGTGTCCAACTGGGTCCACTGGGCACGGCGGCCACTGATTAGCCTATTGTAGCCTGCCCTGGGTGATAATGATGATGGAGAATTTGGTGGAATGAAGATTGGCAGGGGAAACCGAAGTACTCGGAGAAAAACTTTGTCCGCCACAAATCCCACTTGACCAGACCCGGGATCGAACCCGGGGCGCCGCGGTGGGAAGCCAGCGACTAACCGCTTGAGCTATGGCGCGGCCAAGTATACAAAATCTTGCTAAATCAGTTACACGCGGACCACATGAAAATGAAAATGATGCAAGAAATATCAGGTCAGTAACAAGTAACCAGTTACAGTACCTGGAACAATGAAACTTAAACAACTATTGTAAAGTTTGTGTAATAAGAGCTACTAATATCCAATGCATTATTACTCTTGGGTGTACCTGTGGATTGTACCGCCTTGCCACCAAGCGGCCTTTCTCTTCAATAACAGGAGCTTCATTCTTGAACCAGCGAATCTTGGTTGGAGGTGGATCACCAGTGACTTCACACTTCAACTTTACAGACTGCCCAGCTTCTTTGGTGACGTTGCCAAGTAACTTTAGGAATCGCAGTGACCCTATAAAGTAGAGGAAATAAAACATCTTACAACATTAACGCAACTTTTATTCTTGCAGAAAATATCAGAGGCCCTACAACACTTGTCGAAGTAAATGAGTTACTGTTGTTATTAATATATGGCTACTTTTTTGTTAAAATTTCTGTTATAAATTTTAGAAAATTGTAGGTTTATGCGCTTCTATATACATACGCGCGCATGCGCAAATGTGTCACGTCACAGAAACTAAGAAAACATGTTCTTTATGGCATTATTTGAGTCCACTACCCCCATAACAAGCCAGCTACGTGGCAAGGCTTCAGTCAATTTAGAGCTTGAATTATTCGTTAGTAAAACCTTTGGCTGAGAGCAGCAGCACGTATATGTCGTAAATTTCACTGTCAGATATAATTAAAATTATGCTCTGAAAGAAAAAAAAATCTCTAGTAAGTATATATGGAAGAAAATCATAAAGCAAACATACAGACATGTTATGTTACTGGAACATGGACATGAGCAATGACACAGCAATGAACCCTCCAATGAAGAAATGGAGTATGTCAAGATTATCAGTTTCAACTCTTCTTTGTTTTACAACTGAACAATGGGCTTGTATATTTAGAGTGGTCTGGAGCAGTTTTTTTTCCTTCCATTGTCAACTGCACAGACAATTCATCATCATACAAAAAGGGGACCTGCGTCATGAATCTTACAGGATGTGGAAGGAAGTATTTAAGAACTATTTAAGACATTATCCGAGAAATTGTCTTAAAAAAAATTGTGGTCAAATCCAACTTCTTTTACAATTATAACTAATAATCTAAATAACATATAAATGCAATATATATCAATAATCTTCCAATTATAATTATATACGATTGCTTTTATTAGTAATATTATGCTTGCTGCAATAGAACTATATTTTTGTACAATGGCAGCATGAACCTATTAAAACGAAGCAATCCGCGCATCGATTTTCCATATGAATATTTAATTGAGAAAATATTTGTTAAAAATGTAAATATTATAATAATAGTATTTGAATATAAAATGTTTAGGAAAATCTTCTTTTTCCTCTTCCCTCACAGAAGCTTTGTGGGGCACTTGTCGTGTTGGTTGAAAGAAACTGTTGGTTCATAGAAGCATACTTACTACAAATGTTTTTATTCATAGAAATGCCCATGAAAATTATCATTTCATGTAAAATCAGCAGACCTCTACTTATAGCAAACATCTTTCTCTCTCTCTGAGCCTAGAAAATGGAAATTTTTGAAAGTATGCGCAGCAAAATCCAAGTTTTACAACCACTAACCTCTTACTAAAATTGCAATGGTGTGACGTACTATTCTGATGTCTACATAGCACTGAGGGGGCGCTGTGGTGAACGTTGCCCTTGGGATAGAAGGGAATGTCCGGTGGTATCAATCCTCCCCCACATATTTGGGATATTGTTGGGGGAGGGGTACTATTTCTTTAGTGGAAGCAGCCAATAACTCTCACTGGCTCTGGCAAAGTGTCCACTGAGGGTGAGGGTAGCCCCACTATCAGGTCAGGAAGAGGAAGTATCTTCAGAAGGAAACTGAAAGCTTGTCTGGGGATCAGGTTCAGCTGGCCAGTGGTAGGGGCTCTGCTCCTCTGGATAGTAAATCATGGACATCCAGAGATGTCCTGCAGTTAGTGTTCTGAAAGAAGATAAATTTTCTCCCTGCCCCAGGAGAGCCCAGTTGCTAGTTTTCCTATGTTGCAGAAAAGCAGCCCAAATCTCTCTTGGGTCTGAAGAGAGGTTCATGAAGATGAAACGGACCATCAAAAATAAGAACTAGACCCGTTTGTAGGAGAATAAGGCTAGGAAGAGGGTCTATCACTTGGGTAGAACCGAGGACTCGCTGAATCTTGGCTGCAGACCCAGCTGAGACCAATGTTGGGGGCTTTGCTGTTCCTGCTAGAAACCTTCAGATGGCAGTTGGAGACACTCCAAAAACTCCACATCAGGAATCCCAGAGATAACAAAACTTCGATGTAAATCAAGAATTTTGTCAGTGATGCATAATCACCGAGGGAATGCCAGATTTATATACCAGATCTATTACCAGTATCCTCTAGTAGGTTCAGCTGCATCAACAGCAACCGGAAATTCTGAACTGAATCAAAATGATTTACCATTCTGCTGAAATTCAAATCAGCATGAGATGTTTAAAAGAAAAGTATAATGGACTCACTGTCAAAAATGAAATTATATAGAGTAGTCATTTTGTGAAGAGCCATAGCATATGTTCCGAGTAAAAGATTATTAATTATGGACTTATTTTTTTTAGTAAAAACATCACTATAATAATATAGTGAAATTTAAGTTATCCCTGTAAGAAGCCGTGGAGGCCCATAGGGTTGTGAGACATCAAGGTTCCCACATTTTCTAGACAATCGGCACACAGATGACGGTAAGGGTATCGAGACTTACCCGCCGGCCGCCATTTACCCACATGAAGATTCCTGGTACTCATTTCTGTTAGAGACTGAGTAGACCCCATGGTCATAATGCGGCTGGAAGTATTAGATCAACTGAAAAATCCAATGACCTCATAGGGAATCGATCCCGCGACCTTCCGGCTTGTAGCACAATGCATCAACCAACTACGCTACCGCATGCCCACAGTATTATAGCACATGGCTCAAATATTTATTATTTATTATCAATTTATTAGACTCCAAAGAAGAAATACTCTCCCTGTAGAAAGATGGTGAAAAGGACTTGCAACATTGGTGTAAAATTGTAAAGTGTAGTGTTGATGTAAATCACTTTCCGTGATTATGTCGAAAATGAAATCTGTTGTAAAAGAAAAATTCCCAAAACCATAAAAACCAGCCCAGAAAAAAGAATAGTTATCAGTTCATCCTTGGTCGAAAGCGGATTTTCTCTGATGAACAACGTATGTACACATAAGAGAGCGTCTGTCTGTTAAACAAATTAGTTACCTTCTGAAAATAAAATTAACTGGCCGGCCAACTGACTCCTGGTTTCTCGACCATATGTGAAGACATGGTTACGGAAAAGACATTCTGCAGATGGTCCGAGAGTTGGGCCACGAAGCGAAAACCGTTATAATGAATACGTGGAAATTACATGAAAGCTGTTATCCGAAAATAAAATTAAATTTAAAAATAAATGTCCTATTTTCTTTTTCTCTTGAGAGAGGGTTTCCTTCAAAATACAGTGCGAACCCACTGATCAAAATTTTCCAACTCACCCCTTGGCCTGGTTGAGGCATTATGCTACAAGCCTGAAGGTCGCGGGTTCGATTCCCGATAAGGTCACTGGATTTTTCAATTGGCCTAATCCTTCTAGCAGCACTGGGATTGACTCAGCATCTAGCAGAATGATTGAGCCAACTGAAAAATCCATTGACCTCATTGGGAATCAAACCCGTGACCTTCCGGCTTGTAGCATAGTGCCTCAACCAACTACGTTACCGCGTATAAACATGCAAATTTTAAATTCGTATCTTAAGTCACAAGTCTGTTACGTACAAAATATAAACATACAAGAAACAGTAATTGCTTTTACCTGTTTTGTCGGGTGGAAGCGTTGTTGCAGGTCCCAGGTCTTCTGTGTCAGTTCTGAGAAAAGAAAAACAGACATATATAAATAAAAATAGAAATATATATTATCCACGGTCAGTGTTCAAGTTCTCTTCTCTTATGTTAAAATTTCAAACATCAAAACAATTATGCATAAAAGCGGAACAGGAAATATCAAAGAGCTTATGTATCGATACTGCCATTTCATTCGTACGTAGGTATGCAGCTGTTAAACAGATATCACGGAAAAGTCTGTCTACATCTGCTACTGTTTATACGGCGGTGACTGCGAAGAGTGTGGTCCTCAAAGGAAGAAACCACAAGCAGAGAGCAAGCTTAGCTAGCAAGCCGCCTACGTAGCGGCCTCCGTAGTCTAGGGGTAACGTTCCCACCTCATGACTCGTAGTACGCGAGTTCAAATACCCGGCGGAGGTCGTCGAATTTTTAAGGGCGGAAAAATTCAGGGAACAAGTCCTCCGGGAGGGACTTTAAGCCGTGTGTCCCGTGTCGTAGCTTTACGGCACATAAAAGAACTTCATATCTCCAAAGGAGGTCACTGAGCCAAATTACGGACGTTTCCCGCCCAAAAGCAGTCACTAATACCTCTGGTAGATGGGGGAAGCATTACACAGGCCAACACCTGTTTTGGTGCCGGGGTATTTGGAGCTGATTTCATATGAATTTGATGCCCTGANTATTGATATCTTTCAGCTAGTACAGCCGGTCTCGCTGGCTGGGCGGGACTGATGGTAAGCACCAATACCGGTAGGATATAGAGACTGGTAGAAATCATAGAGGGAAGCACAATGGACCACTACAGGTCTAAGTGCATGGGGAAACCCACCCTCTCCAATAACTAACTAACTAAGCCGCCTACGTCAGCTGGTTACGTTTAAGATGTCCTAAATATCGTCCCAGGAACTATATTAGGATCGCCCTGAAGCATTAACATGGCTGCCCTTAGAATATAAAATGGCTCCCTGTTATTATAAGTCGTACGTCAGTTTCCGGTGGAATAATTATAATGCATATAGGATATGGTGGGAAAACCAGAAGGAAAGAGACCACTAGGAAAACCAAGACGTATTTGGGTGGACAATATTAAAATGGATCTTAGAGATGATGGAATGGTATGGATTGGATCGATCTGGCTCAGGATAGAGACCAGTGGAGGGCTGAAGTTCTTGAGCAGCTGCACAATTGGCGGCTTGTCAAGGACTCAGCTCCATGAGTGTGTGACTGAGTGAGTGAGTGAGTGAGTGAGTGAGTGAGTGAGCTGTCTCAACGATGTAGGTTTATAACAAGAAAATTAGTATCTAAAAAAACAGAAGTTTCCAAACATAATTTTGTTTTCCTTGTGGAGCGAAATCGCTGACAGAAACAAATATATCAGATTCTCTCTGACAGCCAACAGGAATGTTTGCTTCACCATGCCATGTCGCACAGCTTCTGAGAAACCCGAGGGACGAAATTAGGAACGGAGAACTCCTATACGTGCGCGCATGCGTGTTCGTGCGCGAGCAACAGAAATTTTCAGCTTCAGCTAAAAGTAAACAAGGATAGAACGAAAACTATGAAAAGTCATGGCGAATGATTAGATCTGGAAACAGTGTGCTTAAACCTGGACTGTTTTATTGCGTGCAGCCCACAAAGGTAAAAAAAAAAGTAAAAAGTAGTTGGTTGAGGCACCATGCTACAAGCCGGAAGGTCGCGGGATCGAATCCCGATGAGGTCATTGAATTTTTTTCATTTTACCTAATCCTTCCAGCCGCACTATGGCCATAGGATCGACTCAGTCTCTAACAGAAATGAGTAGTAGGAATATTCTTGGAATATTCTGGGTAACGGGCGGCCGGCGCGTAGGGCTGACAACCTTGCCGCCATCTATGAGCTGACTGTCTAGAAAATGTGGGAACCTCAACATTTCACAACCTTATGGGCCTCCACAGCCTGTTACAGGGATACTTTTGCTTACTTACTTTCTTTTTTCAGGGCCGCGCCATAGCTCAAGCGGTTAGTCGCTGGCTCCCCACCGCGGCGGCCCGGGTTCGATCCCGGGTCTGGTCAAGTGGGATTTGTGGTGGACAAAGTGACGGTGGGGCAGGTTTTCTCCAAGTACTTCTGTTTCCCCTGCCAATCTTCATTCCACCAATTGCTCCACAATCACCTTCACCTATCATCTGGGGCCGGTACAATAGTCCAGAAGTGGCCGCAGTACAAGGGGCTTAGTCCCACCCCACTAGCAATAAAAAAACAATACTTTTTTTACTTATAGCTCACAAAGGTAGCATACTTAATACTCGGAAGGTACCATCTAATACAATCATAAAGAATAATAAGTAAAAGAGAATCATCATTATCATCATCATCGGCGAAAAAATCCTTTTGGGTCATTGCGTTCCTTAGGCTGGGTAACGATTGCGCGCGGCTGCCGTGCGCTGCGTTTACGGTGATCGTGTCCAGCATGGAACCGCGGCTGTTGATGACGCTGTTCCTCAGTTCTCGCGAGATCTCGTGAATACTGCACGTGCAGTAATGTCCAGCATTATCGAACAGAAAAGTACGTTGGTGCATGAAGGAATTGTATCGTCAGTGAATGCAACATGGAAATAGACTTATGGGAGATATGACATTTGAATTAGTGGAAGATAGAGTTAAAAATTTTACGCGAATGTCATTATCGGATTTCGAACACATAACCTCATTGATCGAGCCAAGAGTGAGTTACGTGAGACATCTTATTTCGGGACTTTTCTCTTCTGTATGAAGCCAATAAAATTACCATCATCTTTTTTAAACCCTGGACTGGCATTTTCATTTCGTCACCTATGTCCTTCAATACGTCCTGGCGGATACTTCTGTTATGGCAATTGGCACTTTCTGAATTCCACGATACCTTTATAAAGCTGTATGAGATATAGACACATTTCATTCTCCATTTTGCCGAGAAGGAAACACCGGAAGGCCACAAGACCGTCTCAGCTGAAAGAGCACAACATACTGAAATCCCTTTGATGCGGGACGAAGAACCGTTCCGATTTGGCTCGACATGCGCCAAGTTCGCGCGCGGCAGTGTTCATTCTGCCGCGCGTGGCAATATGTATCGACTTTGTGAAGCAAAGCAACGAACATTGCCTCGCGCGGCAGCCGCGCGAAATCGATACCCGGCTTTAGAAGATTCTGCCAGACTTGTCTACCGTATTCTGTCTTGAATAAGACCGTCCGGTTTTACTTCTTTGGATATCGCAACAATAACATCTTGTACAGAGCAAGGTCATCAGCCTTGCGTCCAAACCCAACCTAGAGGACGAGGCCTTTGTATTTATGTCGTCCCGTTCAGGGTGGCCCAGTTATACCCCCAGGCAACGGATTCCCTTTTCGTCGCCTCCCACGACTCGCAGGGTTACGTAGAGATATTCGACCCCGCCTCCACACAAGGGTACTAAAGCAGAATAACAAACAATACTATAATTTTACCAGTGGTTCTGTATGGGTGTGAAAATTGGACTCTGACATTAAAGAAGGAACATAGACTGAGGGTGATTGAGAACAGGAGAATATTTGGACCGAAGAGGGATGAAGTGACAGGAGGTTGGAGAAAACTGCACAATGAGGAGCTTCATAACTTGTACTCTTCTCCAAGTATAATTAGAATGATCAAGTCAAGGAGGATGAGGTGGGCAGGGCATATACCACGAATGGGGGAAACGAGGAATGGGTATAGGATATTGGTGGGGAAGCCAGAAGGAAAGAGACCACTGGGAAGACCAAGGCGTAGGTGGGTGGAAAATATTAAAATGGATCTTAGAGAGATAGGATGGGATGGTATGGATTGGATTGCCCTGGTTCAGGATAGGGACCAATGGAGGGCTCTTGTGAGCACAGCAATGAACCTTCGGGTTCCATAAAATGCTGGGAAGTTCTTGAGTAGCTGCAGAATTGGTGGCTCCTCCAGAAGGGCTCAGCTCCATGAGTAAGTAAGTAAGCAAGTAAGTGAAGAAAGTGGATAGAGAAATATAAAATATGCTAGAAAAAAAAGAGACAACGAACGGTAAGAGAAGCAAAAGTTATTGATTTGTGGTCGGTTATTTGACTGAGTGACTGATTCTTGAGTTATTTGCCAACTCTCTGAATTTGGGGTCGAATTATAGGACGGTTATGACCGATGGGCCAGAAGATGCCACTGCCTTGTTTTGGGCATTACCAGAGCATTTCTCTGAGAGAGATTAAACAAAACCATGGTGTCGAATTGACCTGTCTCTGAGGCAAGATTCGAACCCGGAATCTCGAATACAAAGTACAAATTCTTGCCATCAAACCACATTTCATGGAGACAAAGAAACGAACAAGGACCTCATCTCATTTTCTACTGCACAAACTCTTAGCCGTGGAGATCTATTACAATCACGAAGAAAGTAATCTTCTGGGATGTGGCGCCGTGTAGAAGTTGTGTTATCCGACGTTTCGGAGGAACGTATCGCCTCCGTCTTCAGGGTAGAAGACAAGAAGAAATCCGCGAGCGAACCAAATTGAGCAGGTCTTCGTATTCTACTCTGATGGAGGCGATACGTTCCTCCGAAACGTCGGTTAACACAACTTCTACAGGGCGTCACATCCCAGAAGACTGCTTTCTCTCATAGTCACCGGCTTGAAAACCTGAAATCTTACATATTATTCTTGAGGAGCCGCCAATTCTGCAGCTACTCAAGAACTTCCCAGCATTTTACGGAACCTGATAGTTCATTACCGTTTCACAAGAGCCCTCCACTGGTCTGTATCCCGAGCCAGATCAATTCAATCCATACCATCCCATCATCATTACGTTGTTTTATTTCTGTGAAGAACTTACTAGTTAGTTAGTTATTAGAGAGGGTGGGTTTCCCCATGCACTTAGACCTGTAGTGGTCCGTTGTGCTTCCCTCTATGATTTCTACCAGTCTCTATATCCTACCGGTATTGGTGCTTACCATCAGTCCCGCCCAGCCAGCGAGGCCGACTCTACTGGCTGAGAAGTATCTATAATGCTTCCTCCATCTACC